AGCAAGAGGCCAGGAAAGCTACTTGGGTTGTATCAAAATAGCTTAGGAGTCAAGTTAAAGAGACTGTCACTGGCCAAAGATAAGTAAATCAAGCATCAATACTATAATGAATTGAAATGCATAAAACATTTATATCCATAAACTCATAAATATACATAAAAAATGTTCTTGGTCACCTTTGGAGGATGCCAAAGAACCAACTCATTGTCTTGAAAGCCAGAATATAATGAGAAAGAATCAAGCATTTATCCTGCCTTTTCTATATGAAGCATATGACAGGGAACTAAGCTGGTGAGAGAAACTGCCATTATAGAAGTAGCCCAGCTAATAAATAATGAATGATAGAATTAGAACATCTCCATTTTGTAACCCCTAATGAATTAATGAATCTATGTAATAATTATCAATGGCTGTTAACATCACACACAAAAAGAGAACATAACTGGACTTTATGTGCCTCCTGATGAAAGTATCCAGAACCTAGGAAGTATTCTTGCCCAAAAAGCCAGATCTGAATCTGATCAAGCTTCAAGATCTAACTACAGTTTATAGAAAATACCGGAAACAACACCAAACAACATCACAGAGATACAATTAGGAAAAAAAAAAATCCAGACTGAAAATACTCTAGGATGAACAACCATGTTTCTCAACAAAAAACTGTAAGAAAAAAAGAAAGAGAGAGAAGGAGAAATGAGAATCTTAGATTCAAAATGTCTTAAGAAAATGTTAATTATGTTAATGTGTAAAGCTGCTTCTCTGGATCCACATCAAAGAAAGTATAGAAAGAAATAAAACAATTGGAAAAATTAAAACATCAATTGCTATTTAAAGACATTAAACATTTTAAATTTTTAGTTATACTAATAGAATTGTGGTTACATTTTTAAGAGTCCTTACCTTTTTTTAAAGAAATTAAATGTTTTATGTTGAGGTGAGAGTAGATTCACATGCAGTTGTAAGAAATGATACGAAGAGATCCCTCTTACCCTTCACCCAGTTCCCTCAATGGTAACATTTTGCAAAACTATAGTACAATATCACAGCCAAGACAATGACACTACTGCAGTCAGATACAGGACACTTCTCTCACATAGCCTTTCGAGCCATACCCACTTCCCTCCCACCCACACTTCCCTCTCTAACTCCTGACAACCACAAATCTGTTCTCCAATCTATAGTTCTGTCATTTCAAAAATGACATACACTATGAACCCATACACTGCACAACCTCTGGGAATGGCTTTTTATACTCAGCACCTGGAGATTCATCTAGGTTGCTGAATGTATCCAATGTTTTTTGCATTGCTAAGTAATATTCCACGGTAAGAATATATGACAGTTTGTTTAACCACCCCCTGTCTCAAGGACATCTGGGTTGTTTCCATGAGCTATGATGAGTAAAGCTGCCATAAACATTTGTGCAGAACCCTTACTTTAAAGAAAACATCTCCTTACATATTTATGGGTGAGATAATATGATGTCTAGGATTTGTTTCTAAATATTTCCACATTGGCTGAAATACAAAAAAAAAAAAAAAAAAATCAGTACATATACTATCATCTCTACTTTTGTATATGTTTATAAAAAGAAAACAGTAAGAGAAAATTACCTATCTGATCGCTACATACCCATATACATAAATGCGCACATCTTCAAGTAAAAGTACGTTTTTTGATCTAATGACTTTCGACTTTGCCAAGGTCACAGGAGCCCTAAAACATAGAGCCCACACCTTCCAGTGATCATCATTGTCAATTCACTCTACCAATTTAGGCAGATCCAACCTGGGCATCTGTTAACTCTCTTTCAGAAGTTCTTAAAAAAACCGAAGTCTTATTAGGCTTCAGGGTTGAGATAATAGGTAGTCTGTAATGTTGGACAAAAGCAGGTAAGTAATCACCATAATCAAATAAATGAGATTCATGAGTGGCTTGTCTTCAAAAGAGAGGGTTTGTGTCTGACATGAGCAGGTCCTTATCATCAAGACAAATGCTGAGAGAACAGAAGTGTGATTACTGAAGATAAAGAGCAACAAACTATCAAAGCACAATCAATTCTAAAAATGAACTGAAATGCATTTTATGTTATGCGAAGGCTGCTTTTGTTTTTAAGCCACTCTAGGACTGGATATTATTATCATGCTGTGTGCAAGCTAATGGTTCTTTAGTAGAATTCTGCAAAATGGTATCTAACATTTGGTGCCACCAATACAGAGTGGGGCAAAAGTAGGTTTACAGTTTTCCATATGGAAAATAATACAATAATTAATAAATAAGAATGCAAGGATAAACATGTACTTCATGTACTCACAACTGTAAACCTACTTTTGCCCACTCTACATTCTATCAGTTCGTTCTCCCCTCATGCTATAGCATACCCTCCCCTTCATCCCACTATTTTTTCCCCACATAGGGCCTTACAAATATTAAGACCCATCCTCTCAAAGACCTCCAGCAAAGAGGACACATAAATAGCAACCCATTAGGCATTTTGGGGTTAAAATGCAACACTCCAGAAGAAATATTCATGACGACTTTCAAATGCAATGGCAACAATGGGTTCCTCTCTCAAGGTCTTCGGTGCCTATATGTGCTTTGTAATAAGCAATTCTAAAGCTTCAATGAATTTTGTTATCATAAGTGGGATAGTTATCCACAAATCAATCCCAATAAGACAAATTCCAAAGGAACACCTAAATGTTATAGTTGCAATGTAGTTTGGTTATATCAAATATCCCTCCTATTAAGTGGGTTCACACTTGGTGTTAGGAATAGTCATGCTTAATGTGACCAGATTTGATCACACTATTATGCTACAATAGATAGAAAAAAAAGTCCCACTAATAGGATATCTACATGACACTTAAATGCTTATGAATTGAAAAATATTAATCAATTCCATTAAGAACAAGTAAGGTACAGGTTGGCTCACTTGGCTGGTTTAGCAAGTTAGGAGATCTTTTCATGGAATGAAATCTATTCGTAACATCCTGTTAGGACACTAAGAAAACAGAGTTAAGTTCAAAATCTTATTCATATGAGTCAGAACAGAGACGCACGGAATTAAAACCCAAAGTAACACAGGCCACCAGAAATTGTGCTATAGGCTTGCATTGAGAAGATTAATAACAGAGCTGCTAGAGACAAAAAAAAAAAAAAAAGATAAGAATTGGGCTCAGGAATATAATGGAATGCATAACTGAGAAGAAGCTGAGAAAAAAAGGCAGTGAAGTTAAACATATATTTTTGGATGCTCTCTTCCTCGATCCTTTCCCCATCTTCCTTCACTCGTACAACCAAACATATTCTGGGTCCTATGGATCCAGTGTTACAGATACTTTTTTCAGTGGCTTGTGGTCAATGGCAACATATTGGAAGTTGAAACTCTTAGCACTCACCTAGACATACTTAAAGGTCAATCTAAAATATTTTGCATAAAATAAAATGATCTTGCCAAAAAACTTTATAGCTGATTTGCTTATATATCTCATTACCCTTTATCATAGCAACCACCCCATGCCCGTTCTACATAACTGGGGTTTCAGAGGGGGCCATTCTTTTGAGCTGAGGGGGTACCAAAGAAAGGAATGTGGGAGAGAACAAGAGGGGGGACTATGAAGACAGAACAAAGGCAGCAGGAACAGTATTAAACGGGGAAAGAATTCCAAGAATGAACTGCACAGGAGGGGTTCAGGGCAATGAGTGGCTGCGAGTGACAGGAGTGAGACTGTGTGGAGGAGAGCAGATAAGCTTGAAGGGGCAGGTCAGTGCCAGGGAGTGGCAGCCCTGCAGGCCAGCCGACGCATTAGCCCACATGGCACTGGCCTTTGGGGATGTACTGCAGGTCTGCGCAAGGGGAAGATAAAAGCAGCGTGGTTAAGATGTGACTAATGGTAAAAGGCAGGGAGGAAGGAGCAGGGGTAGGAGGTTTACTAACTGTCTTAGGTGAGGCTACGGGGCTTGATCTAGGAGGATCAAAGTAGGAAAGGAAAGGGAAAAATTAATTTGAGGGGCAGTGTGAAAGATACATATACTTAATTCTAGTTTCGTCCTCAATTAAATGTAGAAAATGGTCATTTGTAATCATTGTCAAAGAACTACTTATAAAATGTTAAGGATTATTATGTTGATTGGGAGGTAAACTGTCATTATTATGATCAAACACATAAGAGGGCATAAAAATGCTAATGGTTGATAAAGTCATTTTTAAAGAAAGCTTTGATTAAGCTTAACAGAGCCTTGGAAAAATAAGATTTTGATATAAGTAAAAATTATATTTAAGGAGACCATGATTGGTTGCAAGGTGATGAGTATTTTTAAATTTCTCAAATAATTAACTGCTGATTTTAGCAAGGCATTTATAATGACATATGTGACTGACAGACCGATTTTCTCCACTTTTGCAAATCTACTTTTTATATTTCCTTTTGCAGATCTATTTTCTCTGCTTTTTACGATCACTAGTGCAAAGCCATTGTTCATCAAAAGTTAATTTTTTTTGCAAATAATTCTACGAGTAAAACTGTGAACCATCAGAGGTGACACCAGCTCAATCATCTGTTTTTTAGTGTCTATGCCAACTTAGTTTCTCTTCTCATTTACTTAATACTTTGTATTGAGAACCTACTATATTTTAAGAACTGTGCTAGTGCTGGTGCTGGGAGCACAGCAAAGAGTAAAACAGACATGATCTGTCCACATGACAGCACACCATATAGTGTGAAAGACAGCCATTATTTTAAAATTATATCCAAATATATAATTTAAAGTGTGATAAGCACTATGAAAAATATTACAGGTTACGAGAGTTGATAACAGGGAAGCTAAACCATGCCTAGGTCTGAGAAGTATTTTTTTTTTAAGGAAACTGCCTTTGAATTGGAATGTGTAAGTATGTAGAAGAGTGGAATAGAAAAAAGAATAGGAAAGAGAAAACTAGATGAAAAAATGTGCAGAGGGAAAGGATCACGTATAATAAAATTAAAATACTCTCTAACCTGTTGGGTGATAGTGTCCCAGGGTCCCTGCTGCAGCCGCGGCTGATAGCACTCGCGGACTTCTTCCCATACATCCTTCAGAGATAAAGGTCTTCCATCTGCGAAAGTGCATGGTAAAGACTGGCAGTTAGTAATGCGTGTGACACGGTGGTGCTTAGTGTCTACCTAAAACTATCAGAAGAATATTATGAATTTTTTTAAAAATCCTTACTAGTACACATACTATCTATACATCAAAAGAGTGCTATGGAAATCACTGTTTTCTTCCAGAGAGATATTTAAACGTTCAAGTCTCTCTCCTTTGGAACCATCTAGTAGTCAAACTATCTGCTCGTTCAATACCTCTGAATTTTACAAAATCATACAATCCAAATGTGTTTGAGAGAGAACTAATAGATACAAGCAAGACAAAGGACCAGGTAGACAGACTTTCATATTCAGAAGGGCATAATATACTATGGATATCTCTGAAGTCTTAACACTTCTTGTAATTCTTACAATCAGAGACCACACACATGCTTCTTTCACTCTCATTGACCGAGTATCTGGAATGTTGGATACCACAGGGATTAGAAAGAAGGAAAACACATAATTTCTCCGAGTAAGGAGCCTGTCTTACTACTAGGGAAACTATGATAAGTATTTCATCAGCCTATCAGGAACTAAAATACTGGGCAGAAAGGAAGCGGTGGCTGCAGTTCTCTGCCAGTCCACAGGAGGGGGACATAAACAGCCAGTGTTTGTGGCAAGTGGAGAAAGGGCTGTTGGGGGAAGGGACCTGAGGAAGGACTGGCATGAAGAGATTAGTAAAAGCTTCATGAACAATAATGCCCCTTTTCTTTGTTTAAACAGCTTCAATTATTCACCTAGATTCTTAACCACTCAAATAATGTATTTTATGAAGACCGCTATGGCAGCAGACATGAAACATGGAAAAAGACATTATCTAAGTTCAAAAGAGAAAGCAGGGGTTAACCTAAGGACCTCTAACTACACACTGCTGGAGGAGAAGGTGCCTAACTGCTAGAATGTTGTGCTACGTGACCCATTCAGAGCTATCAAGTCCTCAAGACGAATAGGTGTGATGTTTTCCTTAGGCAAGTGGACAGTATCACTTAAAGAAAACTCATCAATATATCAGCCCTGGCCGGTTTGGCTCAGCAGTGTCGGCCTGCGGTCCCGAGAGACCCGGGTTCGGTTCCCGCTAAGGGCACGTACCTCGGTTGCAGTTTGTCCCCGGCCCTGGTTGGTCGTGCAGGTGGCAGCCACTCGATGTGTCCCTTTCACATCGATGTTTCTCTCTCTCTCTTTCTGTTCCTCTCTCTCCCTCCCACTCTACCTGAACAAAAAATGGAAAAATGTCCTCCGGTGAGGATAAAAAAGAAAACTCATCAATATATCAAATCATTAGATACAAAGAAATATTTGGTTACCAAATGCAACAAAACTTGAGGAAATAATCTACTAAAAAAACCCTAAAAGGCATTGTTTTCAGATTTATAGCATATAATTGGAAATGTTGCGGGTAGGAGAAAGATTTGGAGTCTGGGCTGAATTAGAATCCTGGCGTTTGAACTTATTCTCTTTGTGACTGCAAATGAGGATAGTAATTCTTTTCAAATCTTGTTCTCATGAGGCTTACATCAGTGAACACACTGGAGACTATGTCAGACACCTAAAAAGAGCTAAATAAATATTAGGTGTCTCCTCCCAGCCCCCATTGTACTATTCCAGTAATGTTCATACTGCAAAGCTGAAAGTCTCCTTTATTGACCATTATGTCTTAGAATTTTCTCATGTTTCTACACCATGCACATTGTGTTTGATATAGTAATACACTAATACCACAGGCAGAACATTTCTCATATTTGACCTGAAAAGTTGAACTTTTCCTCAACCTTTATTTTCAATAAATAGCAATAGAATATTTTGATACATTTTCAATAAGTATCTTCATCTTGGCATTTATCTGGCGGCAGGAGACCATTATCTTGTGATAAATAGTTTTATTCCATTGACATTTCCATGTCTGTAAAATGAACAAGATTTATTCATCCAATTAACATTTGAATGTCATGTTTAGCTACAAGTTAAAAACAAGATGCCTTTGGTATCTGTGTTATATTGTTTTCTGAACACATTTACAGAGTAGGGCTAAACTTTGCCCTTAAGATAAGCACTACACATCTTCAAAATATGCACATGCACACAGACGTGTGTGTGTGTGTGTGTGTGTGTGTGTGTTGATGTTGGAGGAGAATAGGATCTTAAGTACTTCGGTGTCAAATAGCAAATGAAATAATCAAATTATAAAAAGATGACAGGCTTTGAAAATAATTTTCAGATGTCAAAGTTAGGAGGAATCAAGTTAGAAGATAATAAATAAAATGTTAGAGCTGGTACAATTACTAGTTTTATAAATAAGGCAACCAAGGTCTTGGGAAATACTGAACTGCTAAGATGAACACAGCTAGTTCATGACTGCAGGGGAGCTGGGTTCCAGTCCCAGGACTCACAAGTCGGGACTCTCCCTGCTCCTCCCGCTGCCTGTCCTCCCTCCGCTGCATCCGCTGCGCAGGCCTCGGGCTCTCACACACCACAAATGCTTCATAAATACTCACTGAATAAACGATACATGAAAGAAAGCCTTCCTTAATTTTATTTCTCTAAGACAAAGGAAGGCTTTGGAGACCTAGAGAAGAGTCCAGGTTTAATATCTGCTAACCAGTAGTGATTTTAATTTTATTCCTGAAAATATTTCAGTCAACAATCTAAGGATGGACTGAATGGTTTGCATAGCAGCACTGTCAAAAACCTGCATGCTCTGCGGGAAACGTTCACACAAAATGCAATAATCAGCAGCACAGCAACAACGTTATAGAACATTTTCATCAGATTTGATGCTAGAATTGAGGTTATGTGCCGTAAGTTTTCAAACAACACTAAAAGGAGAAAAAAAATTTTAACGTCTTCGAATACAGGAATTAAAAAAATTATCTGGTCGACTTAGAACAATGGACAATCACAAGGAGATAAAAATAATTTCAAAACATAAAAAAAAAGAAGAAGAAAAGAAAAAATAGCCCAGCTGGTGTGGCTTAGTTGATTGAGCATTGTCCCTTGGACTGGGAGGTCCAGCTCTGATTCCTGGTCAGGGCACATGCCAGGGGCGCAGGCTTGATCCCCAGTAGGGGGCGTGCAGGAGGCAGCTGATTGATGTTTCTCTCTCACATCGATGTTTCTCTTTCTCTCTTCCTTCCTCTCTCTCTAAAAAAACAGTAAAAACATATTTAAAAAACATTAAAACATGCATTACACTCCTGCCTACATGTTAACAAGAGCGCTACCACTTGCTATAGAGAGAACAGTGTATTTGTGAATGGATGGGACTTCATTCTCTGTTGCATTTACAGAACCATTTAAAAACACATTTATTAATGATAGCTAAATGACTGCTTGTGCAAGCTACCTTAACAAGAGTCTCAATCTCTCCAGTTTCTGCTGACCATTTACACTACAGAAGATCTGGGTAATGTCTCTCACATATGAATATGATAAAAATGATTTAATAAAGTATGATGTGGGTTCTTTTTTTGAGCTTCATCACTGGTTTGCTTAGTCATAGCTCACACCTTCATGATCAAAGACATACAAAAGTTAGTTTTGCATTCTTTAATACACAAACGTTTTGACCTAATCAGCAGTATCTTCACCCATGCCATACACTACTGACAATTAAATTATACTCAAATATGATTGTGGTTAATTATTTCAAAAACAAAATGCAGCCTTCAGAAATCCTCATGAAATCATTGCACTGAGATAGTAAAATATATAAAAAACACATCACAAAGTACAGCTTAAATATGGCAGACATTTGAAGAATTTTGTCATTTTGTATCTATACAAATCTTTAGCTTAAGTTAAAATGTGAACATAAACAAGTACTTGCTTAAGCTCATGTAACACATCAGGTGCCTTCATGCTCAGTTCAAAGTATCTTCAATCAGAAACTTTAAGCTCTCTTAAGAGGGTCTATTATTTCTGTCTGGCCTCAGTCAGAGGAGACATAAGCATACTCAATCAACAACTCTCTAGTTTCAGACCCTAGATATTCAATAGCACCAATTTGAACATGCTTAGAAATCTCATTAATCACATTGAGGCTGAGAAGCTCAGCAAACTCCCGTGCATTCTTGAAAAAGTGAAGTGGAAGCCAAAATCATTTCAGCAGCAACCCACAAAGTGAGCATGGTAAATTAAGGTCATTTATTTAACAACAAGCATTTACTGGGTGCCTACTATGTGTCTCTATCACCTGGACTGATAATACACATTTGAGCTAAAGGAATATTCTGTCAGCAACCTAAAATGTCAATGACAAAAGAAGAGACACTGGATGAAAAATAGAATAATTAAAAAGTACAATCTTTAGCAACTGCCAGTAGCATTTAATTTAACATTTTCATATGAACTCTCTCGATTGAATAATAACCTACATGTCAAGTAATCTATATATTACTCAAAATGTGCAGCTTTCTAAATTAAATGTCTCAAGGTTATTAGTTTCGTGGACCAAATAACAGTGTGAGATATTCCACTGGCCCTACCTAACTCTAATGCAAGCAGACCGAAGTCACCCGTATCCTGTTGTGCATGGTTTCACTAAAGTTCATAACTCCTCAAATGAAGATTAGAGAACATATAAATTACTCAGAGTAACTTTAAGAATAATGTTCTGAATGTGGTCACTAGAAATAAGAAGAGTGGATTGTTTCACAATGAACAATGCCATTATTCAATGTATTGTCTTCAAGATAGCTTGAAGGTTATAAAAATTCATGTCATACCCCACAGTAAGGCAGAGATGATGCTCCACCAAAGGGGAAAACTCAATCTTGCTTCAGTGAGAAAATTACACTGTAATGTGAAATGAGTGTTAATTGTTCATGCGCATTCAGATCAGCTACGGTGCTGGCTAATTCTGCAATTTTATTTACCCTGCATACATTGTTTAGCATTTTGTATCTCTCTTAATTTCAGGAAATTGGAATGAAAATTCCTCAAATACAGATTCTTTTTATTTGTGTATGACATC